AACGATGAAGAATGTAAAAGCAAAATGTGTAAGGCGGGTTTGAGTAACCATAGAGGGTGGGCTAGATGAGCAAAGTCGAATTGTTTACCAATGTTCAAGGGGTAGGTAAAACTGGCAGCCGGGCTTCTGGCACATGCAAAGGGAAGTGAGCTGTCCATGATAAGGGGTTGTAGAGGAACAATGGAAGTGAAAGTTCCAATAGGCTGGACAAATTGATCTCTCCGGCACACGCATGACTTTAAAAAGCGCATTCTTATTTGTTCAGAATCTGCATCCTTGACACTTTTGTATTTCATATCTTCTTTTGGAATATTTTACTGTTCTGTATTGAGGCACAGTATCCGAGGCAGTCCTCATCTCCAACTAACGTGAAATGAATGCACGAGAACTGCTACCAGATATGTCGATGACTTATGGTCTGGCAAATGCTGTCCCTTGGTCTCGTGCCTTAATACTTCAGTTATCCTCGCCCCAGTTTCTGGGAGATGCTTCTGTATGTAGAATATTGTACTGTCGGCACCGCAATTCGGTTGAGCCCTTCGATTGAACGGTTTACCTGTTGACCCGTTACTGGTTTTCCTTATGGTGCTTCGGTTCAATCACCTTATTCTTGTTTATATAGAGTGGTTTATTATAATGGGTCAACGAAGCGCCAGTTCGAAGTGCTGGTGCATTTCCTATGCTATTAATGACATTGACAAGGCAAGGTTGTGGATGATAGCGCTGTCGTATCTACTCGATACTTGTTTCAGCGAAACGGAATGTTAAAGTGGTGTGACAGTTTGCGCACCAGTTCAACGTCTTGAGGTATACTGGGTGTTGTCCATGTGCCCCTTGAGCATTTCTATTATCAGGTGAGTCATTGCTTAGAGGCCAGACGTCCTCAGTCCCCTGATCCTCCAGATTGACTTTCGTATCTGTAAAACCGAATCTTTGCCACTTCCCCGCTGCATTTTGGTCAGTCAGTTCAGCCGAAGTATCAGGTTGACAGCCATGTTCTGGTGCCTTGTCGCTCCGTATTACCAATTGCTTACGTTTTTTCCTATAAACCTCAATATCTGACACTTTGTTTGCCTAGGATCTCCAAATGAGCCCAAAAGTAGAGATGGTCGTCATTTCATTTGTTAGTCATTCCTTTACAGATTGCATTTAATCTTTAGTCAATTAATTTCTCTTACTATGCTAACCTAATTCGCAACTGTTCTTGATGTACTCTGAAAGTCTCCAGTTATCCGCCTTATTCGTACTTTCCTCGTCTTTCCCCCAGGTCCCATTTGTTTCAGCCATGACTCTCACTCTCCCCGATTTTCCGACTAACTGACTTCACTATTCCGTCCGATACCGGCCCACCTATTGCATGCTCGATATTCATCAATGTTACGAAACCGTTTTCTTTTCTCACGGATTACCCAACATCTTTTGCCATCCCATAAACTTTTCCAAAGACTGAAATGCGTTCTAACGAATACGGAATAATTAATATGTTAATCTTTACGTCGAGTTAGCTGCTTGTCAGACATTTAAATGAACAGTTGGCCGAAACGGTGGTTGTTTGTCCACATTTTGGCTGTTTCGTCTCATAGGGAGCTAGCTCCAGGTAATTTATTAAACTGGTTTTTACTGTTGTGTTCGTGCAAACGTCGGTTATGAACCCTTAGACTTCCTTGATATGGGGAGTTTATGGAAGTGGAAGCAAATCGTACGAGGGTATAAGGCTGTATTTTATACAAAACAACACTGCCTGGTGCATTGCTTCCGAGAGTTACTCCGTTTGCTAAGGGTGCCAACAGATCATCCTCACACCAACTGCAACTCTCGCACACGTTCCGACTTGCAAGCGCTTACAACTACTTGCATTTGAATGGCAACAGAGTACCAGTACAAACTGCTAGAGTAATGCACACTTTCCTCGATTACTTATTCAAATATCCAAAGTCAAATTTCCATAGCAATGGTGGCTTCTGTGTTTGACCTACACGGCTTTGACGGCTCAAATTGTGATCCCGTGCTTTTTCTACTCTTCGTTGTTTATTTTGCCATCCTGTTACTTTTCAGCAGAATAGTTAGCCTGGCTTTTTATTTTATGGTAGCAATCATTCTCACTGCAGACCACCGGTTCTCCCCCTCTTATACAATGTCAAATCTTAACGATGTACAAAATAAATCCTCTCTTGCGAAGATCTGGGACAAACGTGAAAACAGTAATTTCAAAATTACAGGATGGTTTCTCGCTCAACGACTGCAGCTGATCAATGCGAGAAAGGTTTAAATAACTTGAGCTTGTCCCTACCTAGAGAGATTAATATGCTTGGCGTTAAGTCAATCAGTACAACGCCCTTGAGAAACGTAGAATTTAAAAATGAACACCCCATAGCACCTTGCGCTACGAAAGGTTCAGTCTATATACCTAAACTTCTGGACAGTGTCTGCCTCAACATGGTCGACCCATCGTCTACGTGCTAACCAAACTTTAACTACAGAAGAACTTTTGGTGCGACGCAAAGGCCGTCGCGCCTCATAAACCGTTGACGCGGTTCGACGCCCGAACTTAGTTGAATCACCTCAGTGTAGTAACGGCAGCATGGTGAACAATTTAGTAAACCATTCAATCGCACTTTGATCACCAAATGCCACAGACCGCCCTTATTTCGCCTACTTTTCGTCCACATGCCACAAACGGTACCGCCCACCTCCTGTTATGAAACGACTAGTTTACAGTCAGTAACACAGTAACAACTAGCATAGGGTTGTAGATATAACACCTTTGAATAAAGCTGACGGGAACCTGTTGCTAAGCGTGCGACAGTAACATGTACAAAGCAAAACTCAGTGTGTTTCACAGCAGGTTAACTTAAGTGCTGCGAAAAGAATTAATGGCTCTCTACGTTCGTATTTACTCGGGAAACCAGCCCACACACGTCTTGGTGTTGCGAAAATCTGGGACCGAGACGTTAACAGTTCACGATCGCCTAACCCTATTGCCTACAAAGATGAGGTACGTGACTACACGAAAGTTTTTGTTAGCCTTCCTCGTCCACGTGCACTAGTTACCTTTATCTCATATACTCTCAACCGCTAGTACAACACCAAAAGTCTTTAGACATAAAAAAAACTGTTTGTGGGATGTGACGAAACACGGCCCAACACCGTCCACCCAACAAGCGAAGGAGCTCGCTATATTTCACATGTCACATATTGTGACCGTAGCGAATTTGCTAGGGCGTTTCTGGCAACACCACTGTGGCCGGTTTTACTCAACACGATTACATTAGCGAACCAATCACTCACCCAGCAAATCACCACGAGGTCAGTAGCACACCACTCGTATTACTTTCATTAAACGCGCCTGCTTACCTCCAACCAACAGCCTCATAAATGGGCATGAGTAAAGACTCAGACAGTACCTCTATGGAATCGATTTGCAACCAGTCACGCAGTCCGCGTCTCAACACTAAAAGACTCCTAACACCTGAAATACGTGGCCGGATTTCCTTCACCACTCTTTCTACGATGGTAGCAGCTGCGTTTATTAGGCGACCTGCAATTCTCTGCTTTTCACTACCGAAATCTCCTATATACATTATACCTGGTTCTTACCTTCTGGTTTTAGCCATTATGTTAGCCCCTGCGGATTCTAATTCTTCCCATGGCACGTCGACGGCCAGCCACCAACAGTACCAAACCCTACCACTCGTCTAGCACACGCTCGCGAATGATTCATCCGGGCAACACAATCACTTCTAACCTCACGCATCCGCGATTCGATTCTTGTCCACGAAAGCGCAGTATGCACAAGAAAACGTGCGTTGTGTGTCCTCATGTGGCGATCCCTACAATTGTCTCAACCACAATAAATAAATAAATAAAACATTTATTCTCGACGAGGCGAGGCACGCCTTTACAGTGGCGACATTCACTGACTATATTCCCCATGATTACAACTCCAATTTCCGCAACCTGTAAAACTTGCAGCTACTGCCGATTACATACATAACAAGGTGTCTGTTGCGAAAACCAACTGCTTGTAACATTTGAGTATACCTGACTTGGTGTGTCTCAATAAATTCGAGAATAAACTATTTATTACTTATTTAGTTATTTATTAGAATCACAGCCGCAGCTTTGGAATGGGGACACAGACAGTTGCTGACCACCGGCACCCAAGACACAGTTAGCTGCCCACATTCTAAAGCTACTGGCGACCAGAATTATTTGGCGCATTCAAAGGCAGCTGACTGTGGCTCCAAGTCCAGCTTGGTTTCGCATGCGCTTGACCATCTGCGGTCTCATATGTCATACTTATACATCTATCCATCACTGTCGCCAAATTTCTGATTGATAGCAATAAAAATAATGTGCTACCTGTATGCCATAGCTGCGCTTCGTTGTCGTGCAGCCACCATCAGTCGCACGTGGGCTACGTATGCCGCGAGGACACCCAAACCTAAGCTGATTCGAACCCGCGCCGCAAGATTACGAGACGAGCTCGTTACCTCTAGGTTACGGGACGATGTTAAGTCAAGCCTACGGGCCGATTGATAAGAATGCAGATATAGCGATGTAACATCATAAAGTACGTTTTCTGGTATTGTTGCTCGGAAGCACAAATAAAAATTACCTAGTTTATATGGGAGAATGCAAAAGTTTCTAATGAGCCCTGGCCTCCTCCACACAAGGCGTAGAGGCCGATCCCCATCCACATGCAAAATGCAATCCCTAGACTATAAGACAACGTTGGTCGGTGCGGGTTTCAGAAAAAATACCTATCCTTGACACATCATACAAGAACGCAAAGTATGAATACTGAGCGCAATCAATTCAGTGAGCAATGCTCTCAAGAAGCTGTTGCTGGTACTATTGCGCCTCGCTAGTATGCACTTAGGTTAGAAACTTCAGACCATCATCCACAAAGATAACCAAAAGTTGCCTATTGTAAGTCCGATACTGGAGGGCAAAATCTCGGATCGCGTGCAACCGTAGGAAGCTGAACTATAACAGAGCTAACTTACCTTAAATCGCTGCACAAGTTCAAAGTACCGGCTTATCAATTGACTCCACTGCATCGCCGTCAGCAAGCTGTAGGCGAACTCTTTGCACTCAGTACTACAGCATGTACCAATTGGTACTGCTCGACTCCCCATACCAGAGGAATGGAACTGACGCGCGTCCGAAAGGAAATGCTCGGCAGAACGTGGAATGCCACATGGGTGCTGCGATTCAGCAATATTGTGCCCAAATCCAATCCGCCGCGTCTGTGGATGCGTAGAAGACGACGTTCTTGCGTCGAACTCACACGGACGTGACAGTATTGTGGTTAAGCGCTTGACGCAAGTACAGTGGGTATTCACCGAGCTGGATAGGTTCAAATATCCGTCTGTCTGCGTTGGAGTGGCATTCAACATAGACTGGAATGAGAGCAAATCGTACGCAATCGATGTTGGACAAAGGGGGAAATGTGCCATTTTACGATGAAGTGTGATACCAAGTAGAAAGGAAATTAGGATACATGCAGCGTTGAAATAGAATGCATAGCGTTGCTATGTTAGACTGTGAACAAAACCCGTGGAGGTGCTGGAACTCGTAAGTGGTGTGCATTTCGTTACGCAGCTGAAGAGTTTCAACAACGCGTACTCTAATTGGCGCATACGGGGAATAAGCCCTATTGAATGAGACAGACTTCGAAAGCGCATATGTGTAAGTTAATAGCTGCAATGTAGCGCAGCTTCCAACTCTCCTCTGCACCAGCACACCAGCTTCCCAATCCCGTCGTGCCATGGTCTGTGCAATGCGGACACGTTTGTAACGACCATGCAGAGTTCTCCCGGATAGTGGCAACCGACCGGATCCAAGTGAGTGGATTAATTCTAGACAGTGACTTCGAGGGGAATAACAATGTACGAGCAAGCGAGATCAAAATGTGTAAACTTAAGAGCTGGCCATCACGTCATCCGCATGTTCAGTAAGCTTAAACAGAGAGAGAAAGCAGGCGAAGCGAATATCCGATGGATCTGTGTATAAATTGCCTCGTTTCCATACAACCGCAGAAGCTGCATTGATCAGCTCGGAATCGTGATCTGCATTTTGACTGAAGCACTACCATTTGTAGATTCAGTTCACCCATTTAGAGAGTATGTTCTGAAGGTTTTCCACCTAATTCTGGTTAGATCAAAAGAGAGTGCACCATAGTCTGATTGAACTTCTCCTTCTTTAGTCCATTAAACCCATCCCACATAGGCAATTACGTAGTCCCTTCAGCATTCTATAATTTATATACTTTTTGTGTGTTCCTAAAATCGATAATTCATAGAGTGCTCAGGTAATTTATGCATGTAAGGAAGTGTCGCGATGAATGATTACCTTTATAACCCAAACTGCGCTTACATGAACCCGCCAATTCCTTGTTGCTCTTTTATGTTCTCGCTGAGAGCTAATAAACGGAGAAGTGTCCACCCGGAATGACCGAACGATGATGTATCTTCCATCTGCGTTTGATTGCTCTGGCAGCGAAAACATAACACGGATTCACCTTTGAAAGTCCTGTGCATTGGGAGTTGGCGAAGAATAATCTAAAATAACTGCTGTCAGTGACGCCCCAATCTGATGCGGATAACATGTATTGCTCCTGATTTCCTTTTATTACTCTGGCCTATCGAAATATATATATTATTATTAACAACAGTTTTCGATCGAGCGTACATAATTTCTTAAGCATGACTGCAAAAGCAAGAAGAATTTGCTGTGCAAAAGTAAGCTAACCAGGTAGTCGTCCATGAACAATGTGCTTACGTTTTGGCATCAGTGCGTGGTAAATCAAAACTGTTGGTTTCATCGTTTCAGAACAACGCAATACCAGAGGAACAAGTATTTGGCCATCTTTACTGTCCCATGCGGCAATAAACATCGTTCGAGCTTACACCCATTCCACTCAGATTTATGAGCTGCACAAAGTAGATAGCAAATTGCCGGATTATTCCTAACGCTACAACACCGTATACACTTTCGGTACTTGGACGGAGTTGTCATAAAAATGCGTCAATTTCCAGTTCTCGTTGGATTTTGTACTGTCACTCAAAAGAGCTCGTTCCAAGCTATAGGATGAGGCTGAACCCCTGCTCATCCAAAGACGTGTGCAGGCGCTGCATCATACTCTGCTGCCATTAGCACACTGCTGTTTATCTACTACCTAACACCGCAAGGCGCCTACTTTTGCGGTTTGTCGCATCCGATACTGACCGGGGAAAGACGCATCGTGTAGCCCCGCTGTGTGTGGGTAGTGTGGGTCACGCCTAGAATAGGTTCGCCTGCCGACCTCAGGGGAGCAGTCGTCTGACCACGTGCGCGCGTGCGTGCACTTGTGCCGCCAGGTATCGCGGTTCAACTCCAACCACAACCTTATTTGGTACTTCGAAAATTATTCAATGAAAATCCCCGCGTCTACCTTTGTAACGTCAGTGCTGATCAATGCGAGTAAAATGGGCCCCAGGGGGACAAATATCGGAGTCGGCTCTCCGCAAAGACACACTCACGTATGCTTCCTCAACAAACGGATGAAACAACCGGGGCACTCTTGCGGTAGGATCGCTCGTCGTCTTGAGTCCCACTCCCACTGACTTAAGGTGTTCCTCCGGCAGCGACCACTGGCATCCACACTGAGAGATGATGTTGTGCAGGTTATCCAGATGAACGCTAGACTTCGGTGGAGGAATCCACGCTGAGACGGAAGCGACTTTTGCTGGTGCTTGCAATGGAATGTACGCCAGCGGTCCGCCACCTAGCTTCGATTTCAAATAAGGATGCACCGATCTGATGGGTTGGTTCTGAGGCAAAGTGATAATGGAGAACAGTTTAGGCTTTGGATGATCCAAATGAGTGCTAAACAAAGTGATTAACGAGTTAAAAACGGTGGGACATTTATGCCAAATGACGTACAAAATTGAATGGTGTCTAACGCAACCAACTTCAACATTGCATGCGGTGAGTAGTCGTGCTTCCCTAGCACTATTCAGGTAGAGACAGCTAGAAAGAAAAGCTATGTTGATGCAGGAAGAGCGAGTGATCCGCTCGGCGCCATTAGATCATGCACCAGACTCCGATGGCTAGGTCAAGCAATAACGTGGTCAAGAGAAATGAAACCCCCAATTCGAAGTTGGCGTCGGTTGGTGCATTCCGACTGCCTGGCTGGGGTCCGAATAACGATGAACACGTTTGGTTGGACACACTTGCTGACATGGCTAAAAACAAGACCCAATGGCGTGCTTCACAACCTCAGCTGAAGTGCATTGACGAGGATGATGACGATGATGATGATGAAGATGATGGTGGTGGTGTTGATGATGGTGATGATAATGATGGTGATGATGATGATGATGACGGTGATGATGCTGATGCTGCTGCTGCTGCTGATGATGATGATGGTGATGATGATGGATGATGATGATGATGATGATGACGATGATGATGATGATGATGATGATGCTGATGATGATGATGATGGTGGTGATGATGACGATGATGATGATGATGACGCATGATGGATGATCATGATCATGACGATGACGATGATGATGATGATGATGCTGATGATGATGATGATGAGGATGATGATGATGATGGTGATGATGATGATGATGATGATGATGATGACGATGATGATGATGATGATGAGGATGATGATGATGATGATGATGGTGATGATGAGGATGATGATGATGATGATTATGATGATGATGATGATGATGATTATGATGATGATTATGATGATGAGGATCATGATGATGATGATTGATGATGATGATGATGATGATGATGATGATGATGATGATGATGATGATGATGATGATGATGATGACGATGTTGATGATGATGATGATGATGATGATGATGATGATGATGATGATGATGATGATGATGATGATGATGATGATGATGATGTATACGGAATGCTGGTTCGAAGCAGCGAGTAGAACTTTTTCTGTATAGCTGCATCATTCGTCGCTCTTGGACAAATACACCTTATTTATCGTTCCGCTCTCTGCATTTTGCCTCTGCAAAGTGTTTGTCTAGGAGCTTCTTGAATTCGGACACTGAGTTCGCCTCTACACCTGCTGCGGCAGGTCGTTCCAGATATTCACCACTCTGCGTTCGAAACAGATTTGGTGAGCGACCCGCTTCAACTTCGGTACGATAAGTTCATACCCGTGTCCTCGCGTGCAGCTTTGTGTGCGCGGATGAAGCAGTTGTCTCAACATGGGGTAATCACCCAGATGTAATATCCGGTGCGTCATGATGAAGTCAACACTCAGCCGACGATATGCTAGGGTGTATAGCCCTAGTTTCTTACATCGGTCTTCGTATGGCATACCTCGTAAGTTGGGAATCAGCCTAGTGGCTACATCCTGCACCCGCTCAAGCTTTTCTACCTCTCCCAGCGTGATGGGACAATACGCGGGAGAGCTGTATTCTAGCACTGGTCGTATTATCGACACAAACATGCGAGTAGCGATCTCTTCGGACCAAGTGCTGAAACTGCGCCTGAGCGCCCAAAGCATCCGAAGGCTGTTTTGGCACAGCCTATTCGTGTTGTCAGTGGAATTTAGGTCGCAGCGTGAGAGCACACCGAGGTCGCGCACGAAAGACGCGGGATGCAGCGGTTGACCAGCCACTGTGCATGTCCGGCTGTGCTCACATTTACCCAACTGATGAGGATGAGGATGATGATGATTATGAGGATGAGGATGAAGATGAGGATGATGATGGTGATGATGATGATGCTGATGAGGAGGAGGAGATGGGGGAGGGGGAGGAGGATGAGGATGATGACGATGGGGATGATCGTGATGATGATGATGAGGATGATGATGAGGAGGATGATAGAGGTGGAGAAAGACGACCAGGTATAGAAAGCCTGGACGTAAACCTCAATTGTTTTGTCTCATCACTGAAACGGCGCTTATCATTGTACTTAAGAGACTGAGGCACGGTTTAAGAGATAGCCGATGTCGGGGCCAGTTAGAATCTATGGCTCATTGCTAAAGCTGACCCAGTTTCAACATTTCCCAGTCTGAAGTGAGATTGTTTGATGCAGTCCATCTACTGAACCTACATCGCATGTTGATCCTGACTTTGAGTCAACACTTATACTTAGAAATAGACAGCATAGCGTTCGCTGACGTGTGGCGGTAGACGATACATGGAAGCAAAATGTATGTTTGAAAGTGTAACTTCTGAGATTTAACTTACGAGGTGGACGTTTCGTGTTCCAACCACGAAGCAAGGCTGTGAGATAGATATGAATCTATTTGTTCAGCTGCAGTGACCAGCATATTAAGGTTGTACACATAGGAGGTAAATTGAAAACTTGCCTAGATATATAAGGAGGAAACTAAGTAATGAAATCACCTTGTTTGCCTGAGGAGAGAGTGGTAACAGCATCATGCTGGTTGTTAATAAGGGTAACCACGGCGAAGTTCGGATGGCCTCCGCCTTCGACGCGTGCTGATTGAGTAGAATGTCTGTCGGTTGAGGTGAAACGGTTTTAGCTTGACCTTGGTCAAGTTGATATTGCAAGATCACCGTGGCCAACCCCAAGGGTAGTGGATGGAGCAGGTGAGCAGGTCGAAGTAGATCAAGTAGTTGATGCTGATCCAACACTTTCACAATGGCGTTCAGGTTGACTGGTTCAAGTTCAATGACTGATGAAGAGCAACCCACGGGAGACACTCTGCACAACTCGCACTGAGCTGACAGTGATGGACCCAGCGTACTATTTGCGCACCACAGATTGTCAGTTGAATCCCGTCTTTCGTTCGGCAGTTTTACCTCATCGGACTGGATCAATAATAACCACGGATTCAATCCTATCCCATCCTATTGACTAAAGTAGGCCGGCTTCAGTGGGGCTTCCGTCAGGTTGGACACTAGATCATGATAACCTAAAGCGTAAAAATAAATAAGCTTTGTATCCGCGAGACGTGGAAATATGTTAAGAAGTTCAAGGCGCCTATGACGGACAGCGGAATTTACCTCGAACTGATAGGCAATCATGACCGCGATCGAAAGTCAATATACACTTCGTTGCACAACCGTTAAGTATAAACACTTGTAGATTTCTATCCAAAGCAGGTAATGAGCATGGTTACATTTCGAAACCATGGCGAGTTCCGGTCCATGCTAGTTTCAAAGACTGCACACCATATCGGTCGTCACCTGTGTTGATAGTATTTAAATAAGGGAAGCACGGTTAGGATGGTACCTGTCAAATCGATTCCTTACATGGTAATGTGCATCTGCAGGTTGTGAGAACCGAATGTAGCTATGGAGTCCTTGAGCGTGTCAAAAAGCAAGAAATTGATGCACTTGATCCTGAACAACGAAAGTTCCGCTCATCTACGCATTCACTTTTGGAGGTTCCATGGCACACGTTGCTACCATGCCTAGTGGTAATGTGACGTGCAATGCTTATGGGCCCATTTTACGCGCGCATACGTCCACGGTTTCCAAGTGTTCCTTTCCTTGCACCACAACGGAGAGCAACAAAGAACGTGATGGGCCTGCGGTATCACTCTTACCACGGAAGTCTGAAGTTGCTGGGAATTTTCAGCGGACGTTATCGAATGCTGCGCGGCGATCTCATATTAGCGTATCAGATATTGAGTGACCCCAACCACGTATGCCGCCATTTGCTGAAACTTAGCCACAACACGCAGCTCAGGGGTAACTGCTTAATATTGAAGGAACAATATAGCCGTCTAGAGTGTCGACGGAATTACTTTTCCCTTCGAGTTTGCAAACCATGTAACGCACTCCCAGACTCAGTTGTATCCTCTCCAACCCTGGATGTTTTCAAAAAAAACGATTAGATGTTGCTCTCAGCTCCCAACATTTTGTTACCTAAGCTCCCCTGTTGTGGATTACGCCAAGCATGTTTTCAACAGGATTAATGTATCAAATGGACCTAAGTGAGTGACCATATTTTATATTCTCACTCCTTACCTCAACTATCGCTGCGCCCCGGTGTCTTTCTGAATGTTTACGCGCGATATTTCTTTTTCATTTCACACTGATGTTAACTATCAAAATATTCATCTCGGCAGACGTTCGATAGATGACCCAGACATATTTTAATTGCATCATATTCACCGCTACCATCCTACGGGACATGTCAAGCACTTGCTTTTATCTCGTGATAAATCATTGTTCATTGTTTGTTCATTGTTCAAGGTTA